CATTTAAAAATAAACATCTTGTTCTGAGCATTTCTTGGCACCATGTTTGTTATAAGCCAATCCAGTGACATGGAAACCACTCTGAGCAGAAAGTTTCTGTTCATATTAGCAAACTTAACTTTTTAAATGTAAATTAAAATTAATTTTTATCATTAATTTCTGGAACTTATTTTTTTTTCTTTTTTATTGAGTTTATTGAGGTGACATTGGTTAATAAAATTATACAGGCTTCAGGTATAATTCTACAATATTATCATCTGTATATTATATTATGTGTTTACCACTCCAAGTCAAGTCTCCTTCCATCACCATTTATCCTCCCTTTATCTTCTACCTCCCTCTCTCCCTCACTCTCCACCCCGCTGTCACCCTCCTTCTCTCTGGCAATCACCATACTATTGTCTGTGTGCATGAATCTTTCTTTTTTTTCTTTGCTTAATTCCTTCACCCTTCTCATCCAGCCCCCAACAACCTCCCTCTAACAGCTGTTAGTCTGTTTTCTGACTGACATGAGTCTGTCTCCACTTTGTTAATTTTGTTTATTAGATTCCATATATAAATGAATCACATGGTACATACAAAATATGAATTAATTGGAGTGACCCTGGTTAATAAAATTACACTATACATAAGAATAAACTCAAAGTGGATTAAATGTGAAACTCAAAACCATTTTACTTCCTAGAAGAACACATAGGCAGTAAAATCTTGGACATTTCTCATAGCAATATTTGTTCTGCTATATCACCTTGGTCAAGGGAAACAAAAGAAATAAATGAACAAATGGGACTACATCCAACCTAAACGTTTTTGCACGGCAAAGGAAACTATCAACAAAACGAAAAGACAAACCACTGAGTTGATCAATAGATCTCATAAAAGCTTAATATGCAAAATTTATAAGGAAGTTATAAAACTAAATACCAAAAAAATAAACAACCAAATTGAGAAAAGGACAAAAGACCCGAATAGACACTTCTCCAAAGAGAACATACAGATGGCCAATAGACATATGAAAGGATACTCATCATCACTAAACATCAGTCTACTTCATTTTAAAAACCAGTATTACAAGGTTTACATAGAAAAATAGCAATCTCTTACATCATGAAACAACACCCCAAAATCTCATTCTTCAGGGTCAATCATTTCCCACTTTTTCAACTATTCTGATTATTTGCCTCAATATTTCCACAAAGTATACTTATACAACTATATTTGTGATTTTAAATTTTGTCATGTACTTCATTACAAGTAATTTATGTCCTATATCTACCCTCCATGTTATAAAAGAAAGTTAAGTGGCTCTACTGTTAGCACCATTGTTGCTTGGGTATTCCATCACTTAAATTCATAATCAAGCATTTCCTTTTTTTGTTTGTTTGTTTTTGATTGAATTTAGTAGCAAAGCAAAGTTGAACTGAATTAAAATTGTTGTAAACTTCATGTACATCTGGCAAGAAGAGTTAATGGGAAAAACATTGAGAAAGCATATCTGCCTTTGTTGTCAGATCTCTTTGTGTTTTCTTCCCTTTTAAAAAATTATTTTATTTTTCTATTATTGTTTGCATTTAATACTATTTTGTGTTAGTGTCAGGTGTACAGAGCAGTGGATAGACATTCATATAGGTTACAACATGTTCCCTGTGATAATTCAAGTCCCCACCTGGTACCATAGATAGCTATTACAATATTGTTAACTTTATTCCCTATAGCAGACTTAAGTTTTTACAAAATTCTCAGTTGAAAATGCAGCACAACTAAATATTTTCCACTCAATTAATGACCACATTAATATTCTGTCTTCTTTTGTTCAGACATACCTGAACTTTTCTTTATCAGAACTGTTATGTTAGGTAAGCTTTTTAGATAAATCAAGTAGTGCTATTTCCAGATTAAGGAACATGGAGTTGTAGTAATATTTTATACTGATTAAAATTTATAAGGGAGCTAGTATTCTGTGAAAAAACACACATTACGTGATAGAAATAAAATCTCTTTACAGTTCTAATTTGAGTGATCTGTGACATATTTTCCAAAGTCACATCAGTGTGTAAATCAAAGCCAAATTTCCTCCAATAATAATTATTCCTAATTTTTATGGGGCTCTTTTGGCAGTCAAGTATGTTCCAAAGCACAGCATGAAGGCAATTCCCTACTAGTCAAAGAAACCACCGTGCAAATAAAGTATTTTGTGAAATAGTTTAAGATATTTTTAAGACATCTGACATCTTTGATATATCTAACTTTGACAATGTTTCAAAAGTCTGCATCTAACCTTCATTATTCAAGAGATACTTGTGGAAAGTTTCTACCCAATTAGGAAAATTAGGGCATTGGAATGTTTTAGAGATAAACAGATCTGGGTTTGAACCTAATTCCCACAATTAATAAGCTTTCTGACCACGGGCAAGATCTTAACGTCTCTAAGCCTGTTTTGTCATCTGTAAAATGGATATGGTCATATGCACTTCACGGGGAGCTGTGATGATTAAAGGAGATACTATACAGGGAGGGCCCGATACCTGCTAGCCCCGACTATGTGTGCATCTCCTTTCAGCTCATCTTTCTCTCTACTAATTGCGGTTGGACAAGAACATTAAGTCTCTCAAAAGGTTTTATGAATTACAACCTTAGAAGCCTGAAGAACTTAACAAAAGGTCTAACCCTAGAGTCACAAACACAAATGTTTTTAGGACTCATGCAGGGAATACAGATGGTCTGGATGTAACTCAGTGGTTGGGGCGGGGTTGTGGGTCCTCATCTGTGTGCATGGCCTACCTACTGGCATTATAGATCATTACAACAAGAATAAAAGGTAAAACTTAACTGCCTTAACAAAATAGCAGTCTGTTGGCTTACTTTAGTTCATAGGTTAC